AACTACATAGTGAGACCCTGTCTCAAAAACAAAAAAGAAAGAAAAAAGAATGATAGTATTATAATCTTACTTCTTGAAGTGCATATTAGCATGAACACCAATTCTAAGTCTCTAAAAAGGAGACTAAATCAGATTCTAAGGAACCCAAGAGACAATCTGTCTGTGCAGGAAATTATAGTGGAGTAATTCAACTTAAACTTTTTATTTATTTTTTCCATTCATAAAGCTTTTATTCCACTTACATGAACTTAATACATATGTTCTTAACAATTATGCTTAGATTGTTCATGAAAATTTCTTAAGACATTAAACAAAGCTAGCCATCATCTCAAGTTATTTCCCCTTTAACAATTTTTACAGCACATGCATGTTGGGCAAATATAAAAAAAAAAAAATCGCAAAAGCAAAAAAAAACCCTAAAAAGGTTAAATACGTGGGTTTTTGTTTGTTTACTGCTATGCTTGATATACATGAAATAATGAATACCAAGCAATTCATTTTTGCTGCATCTTTACTTTTACATTTGTTCTTAGGTTGCCTAAAACATTTAAATGCAAATAAAATGTGTAGCAAAAATAATGAAAGCAAACAGCAGGTAACTTTACAAATAATGAAATGTGAACCATTTCTGCCCTTATCCAGAGTAAATGGGTGACGACTTTGTCTGAAGGAACACCCCTGCAGCTGCAAGCATAGATGTGCACACTGGGACTGCTCACTCCCCGCACATGGACTCCATGCCTGGAGGACCCGCGGGGTGTCTTGTCTTTGCCTCAGCCTTGGAGGTGCTCCAGTCCTTAAAGTACCACTGATCCCTTTTACTCCCCACCAGGACAAACCAATACGTAGGCAGTTTTCTTTGCTTAGACATGGAAGCAGTTTTAGCACTGACCCTTATGAAGCCACAATGTACCAAAAGTACTATACTGAACAATTGTAACTTGTATAAAAATTCCACTTCCCCATATTGGCCATCTCAAGATGAAAACAGGTAACTCCCTAAATATTAACTGGCTCTACTCCCCTAATATTAAACATAAACCCACATGGGAAATATAGAAATTCAAATAGAAGTAACATAAACCTGTCATAAACTGTAAACAAAAAACTATTTGTGGGACAGCATGGATGACAAATGGTCTATTGTGTAAATTTTAGAATGAGGCAGACAGAAGTTGGAAGGCCAGTTAATTTTCCCCTCCTTCTCCTGCTTCAGCTTCATCTCCTTGGGCATCCAATGTCCACAATGTCAAGTTGTCTCTCAGTAATTGTATTATTAGCGTGCTGTCCTTGTATGACTCTTCACTTAATGTATCAAGTTCAGCAATGGCTTCATCAAAAGCTGTCTTTGTCAGAGAACAGGCTTTCTCTAGAGAGTTCAGAATCTCGTAATAGAACACGGAAAAGTTAAGGGCCAGACCTAATCTGATAGGGTGCGTTGGTTGCCTTTCCTTTTTGCTGATTTCAAAAGCATCTTCGTGTGCTTGTTGTGACTGATCCACAATCCCTCTCTTATCATCACCAGCAGCAACCTCGGCCAAGTAACGGTAGTAGTCTCCCTTCATTTTCAAATAAAAGACTGCTCTCTGCTTGTGAAGCACTGGGGATCAAGAACTTTTCCCAAAGAGACAGAACACTGCTGCAGATATCCCTCAGCTCGTCTCAATTTTCTCTCTGTATTCTCGAGCTGTCTGCTGCTTTTTCTCAGCACCTTCTGTCTTTTGCTCGATACTTGAGACTGCCCTCCAAGGTGACCTACGGGCAACATTTTTATTAGCAACGGAGAGAAGGTTCCTCTTCACATTAGATAATTCAGCGCCTGGCTCCGTTATAGACTTCATGCAGGCTGCCATGTCATCATCATATCACTCAGCCTGGTCGGCCAGTTTGGCCTTCTGCACCAGCTTGTTTATATCCGTGCCTGGATGTTCTGTGTCCCGGGTGGGTGGTGGCAGATGGATGGACGGGCGCAGCGGTCTCTAAACTTTTTATTTTGAAAAACAAAGGTAAATCCTGTAGAAAAGAAGAGCTGCAAGATTATACCCCTTTTGCTCCTTCAAGATTCATACATTGATAACATTTTGCCATATTTGCTTTTTTTTTTTTTTTTCTTGTCTTTTCTTTTTGTCTTTCTTTTTCTTTCTTCCTAGACAGGCCCCCACTCCATAATTCAGATTGGCCTTTAACTCACTATGTAGCCCCAGGTGGTCTCAAACTCTCAGCAATCCTCTCAGTTTCCTGCATGCTGGGATTACAGATGTGTGCCACTGTACTAGGCTTTTATTTTCTCTTATATGTAATGTTTTCTTCATCTCTCTCCTTCTCCTCCTCTCATTCACCTAGGGTACCTATGTAGCTCATGACCTTGTATCACAAGACACTTAACTATGTTTTGCCTAAAAGCAAGGATAATCTTTTATATAATGGTGTGGCTATCAAATTTAGGAATCTTAAAATTAATGCTTGTTTTTATCTGATACACAGCCATATTTAAATTTTGCTACTTGGGGCCAGAGGGATAGCTCAGTAGAATAAGCGCCTGTCTCATAAGCACAGGGTCCTAAGTTCAATCCCTGGTACTATAAAAAATAAAAATACAAATAAATTTTGCTGCTATCTTAATAACTATCATTCATTATAATTTCTCCCCCACCCTAGAATCCTGTATTTCATAAAATTACCATTTCTTTGCCATTTTAACCTGGAACAATGTTAATCATGACTGACTTTTTTTGGAGCCTGAGGGCACTTTTTAAAATGTCCTTTAATTGGAGTTTGTTCTCTTGTTTCCTTGCAAGTGGATGCAATTACATATTTTAGGCGGGGTAATAGATCTTCAGTGCCTCACATCAGAAGACACTATTGGTGATTTGGCTGATAGGTTTGATATCTAGTTGACTCCTCAGAGCTTCATGTGATCATAGGTGGGGCTTGGGGGGTGACTGATTATGGGCCTAGTGCTGGTTTGCTGTCAGAGAGGCAGGATCTGCTCACGGGGGAGATGGCCTGGAGGGCTTGTGTTCCTTTCCAGCTCCTGCTTTGTCTGTCTGCTTCCTGGCTGTCATGAGGTGAGCAGTTTTCTTCTGCCCTCCCCTGCTGCCATGCTGTCCTGCCCTGGACCCAGCCAAATTGCGAGCCAAAATAAACCTCACTCCCTGTAAGTTGCAGGTCTCAGGTATTGTGTTTCAATAATGAGAAAGTGACTACGATTTTTTCTGCTATCAAGCTAATTCTTTTCTCATAATGAATAAGTAATCTATGAGGAGATATTTTGAAACTGTGTAAATATCTTGTTCTGCTGCAATCTTTCACCCAAGGGTTGGAATTCTAAAGAGCATTTTTCTATCGAACATTTTTAAGGTGGGGCTCTGTATATAGTTTCCTCGCCTTGATTACAGGCTCCTTGAAAACAATAGTTTGCATTTGCATTTCATTTTATTTTACATTGGCAAATAATTATATATGTTTCTGGAGTGTACTGTGTATGTTTTAATACGGGTTTATATTATGGAATGATTAAATCCAGCTAATTAACAAGTCTGCTCACATACTCTTTTTAGAGGGAAAGGCAGTTTCTGGGTGGTGTCCACATTTCACTTTAGACTTTTTTTTTTAATGTCAACCTAATACTTAACCATGACTCATGAGGTGTCACCTTCAGTCTCCAAGGTTCAGGTCAGGTTTCTTGTATATCTTGTCCTGTTGCCATGTTGCATGTTGCTGGAAGATAGAAAGTGAAGCACGGTGCATTTGTATAGACCATTGTGTCCTTCCAGAGGGCCTAGAGGCAGCAAGGTTGCCTGAGGAGTCTCTGTCTAGAATTTGCCTTCTGCTTCTGCTTGGAGGATTTTTCACTGGGCTGTTAACTGTAGGCTGAGGTTACTGTTGCTCCTAGTACATCCTCTATTCCCAATTTGTAGCTGATGCCTAACATTTCTTCACTGTAGAGAAATTAAGCCGAGTGTGGTGGCATACCAAAAAATAAAACTGTGCTCAAATCATATTGCCTGAAAAAAATGTACAAATAATTCTGCCAGGGTTGGGAAGGTAGCACAAGCCAGCATCTAAACTGGAAACGTCAAATATTCCAGACTTTGCTGTGACAGCTAATTGATAGAAGTTCTCTGCTAAGTGAGATAGTAGAAATGAGTTTTCTTTGAGGGGAAGAGAAGTTTGAGTAGAGATTTTATTAGCTGAGCACTTTGGGTGAGTTTGAGATACTGATTCTGAAGGAGGAAGTGGAAATGGGTGTTGAAAAAGGAAGGCCAACACATTTGCAAGATATACCATGCCAATGGCTTCTTGTCCTTTTGGTTAATATCAAGTACACTGTGCCAGTCAACAGTTTCCATAGAGCTAACTGTGGTGAAGTGGTCTCTGAAATCTGGAGGGCGTTTAGAGATAAGAAATCCATGCTTTTGTTAAATCAGATCTTGGTAATAACATCTGGTTAAGAACTCTACTCTTTCTGGCCATACACGCAGCATTGCCCTGCACCTGCCGTATCTCCAAGTGTCCAGCAATACTGAGAGCGGGTTGCTGGGAAAGCCTGTCAGGTGGAGCATCCCTAATCTGTCCAGAAAGCTTCAGCATTTTGGATTTCACGTTTTCCTAAGGATGCTCAACTGGTAAAGTTTGTGCAAATATTCCAAATCCAAAAGACTAAAACCAGACACTTCTGGTTGCAGGTATTTCAGATAAGGATCTTCAGCCTGGTAGCTGTTTTTCTCAGCCAGTTATTCTAATCTCTTGCATACAGTCAAAATATGAAATCCACAGTATGTAGGTTATGACGTTGGGAGGAAAAACTTCTAAGATTGGGGGTTAATGGTGTCCACTGGTGCACAGAGGCATTTCCGTGTTGCTGTGAGAGCCAGTGTTTGAGGAGGCTTTGTTGTTGTTGCCACATGCCATTGGCTCATTTTGGTGAAGTGTGAGCTGTGGAATTGATGTTTTGCTGAGTGTATTAATGCCTTGAAAATCCCACTTTCTCCAACCAGTTAAAAGAATATGGATGCACAGAGTTCAGCCAGAGTCAACGCAAGGAAGAGGAGGAAAGAGGCCTTAGGACCGAATGGGGCAACAGAAGAAGACGGGATTCCTTCCAAAGTGCAGCGCTGTGCAGTGGTGAGGAGAGGCGGGGTTTCTTTGTGCACCCTTCACCTGGCAGGAGGGGGAGAAACGGGTGTAACAGGTGTTACCAGCCTTCTTAAATAATGGGGAGAATGCTAAGTGTGACTAGTGAGGGTATTTTACAGTTTTTGGAAATACCACCCTCTTTTCTGGATTATTACTCCAGCCCAGGTGTAGGAGCTTGACATTGGTGGGATTTTTTGAGACAGGGTTTTGCTATTTAGTTCAGGCTGGCTTTGTGGCACAGGCTAGCCTCACACTTGTGGCCTCCTGAGCTCTGAGATTACAGGCACGCACCACCATGCCCAGTTTTGATGCTGGAATTGGAAAAAGAATGTTAGGAAAATTTGGAGGCTGTGGGTAGATCAAGTGTATACTAAAAGACTACAGAAAGGGGCCTGAGGCAGTGATTGCTCTTATCTTCTCAGAGTGTTTTGTCTTATAGTTTCTTCTCCTCATATCATTTCTCCCCAGTATTACTGGGTGTAATCTTAGGTGAGGACCTCTTACCAATACATCATATGCTTGTCAAGAGTTCATGGCCAGGGGCTGGCGAGATGGCTCAGTGGTCTGGAGCACCTACTTAGAACAAGCTTAGCAAAGCAAGGGACCGCGGTTCAATCCCCCAGCACCACATGCCAGCCAGCCCCGCCCCCTGGTGGGCTGAGCTGGCCACACACACACACACACACACACAAAAAAAATAAAAAAAAAAAAAAAGAGTTCATGGCCAGGCTGATCTACATAGTCAGACCCTATCTCAAAAACCAAAGCCAGTTGGACATGATGGAACTTGCTTGTAATCTCAGCACTTAGAAGGATTGTGGTGAGTCTGAGGCCAGCCTGGGCTACATAATGAGTTCAGGGCTAGCCTGAACTACATAGTGAGACACCCTGTCTCAAACACACAGAGAGTTGTTCCAAACCACAATTTTGTCTTGAGCAATAAAAGCAGCTAGACGCCACACCTAGGAGGCATCTACCTTGAGGGGTAATAGCGATGGTATTGTCAGAGATGACTGTATTCATTTGCCATTGCTGCTGTAACAAATGACCACAGTAGCACAAATGCATTCTCTTGGAGTTGTGGAGGTCAGAAGTTGGAAGTGTGTCTCAGAGAACTAAATTGAAAATGTTGACGGGGCTGGAAGTCCTAAGGAAGAGTCCACTTCCTTGGTCTTGTCTAGCTTCTAGAAGCTGCCCACAGCACCCAGCTCATGGTGCCAGTGGCAGTTGCACCACTCTGGCTGCTGTTGCTCTTGTCACACTTTCTGGCATTGTTCCTTGCAAAGTGTCTTGTGATTACACTGGCGTACCCAGATCACCTGGGAGTCCACCTGCCATGGAGCCCTTCATCCAACCATGTTTATAGAGCTCCTTTGGTCACAGAAGACTGTGTACCACAAGTTTCTGGAAACAAGGTACAGACATCTTTCAGGGGCCATTGTTCTACATGCCACAGCAAGTGAGCTCGGAAAATGGCCCTACAGTCAATAGGGCATGGTTGACTCTGAAAGTGTCTAAGAGAATTCAGGTTAAAGAGCTGGTGATAAGTGCTAGATGAGCAGTATCAGGTGGAGTAAGGACAATATATAACCCTGGTGGTGACATCCCCAGCCAGTCACCAAACACAGGAACAACACCCCAGAGATCAGGAGTTAAGTTATTTTGTAACATATATTCATGTAAAATCAGGTCCGTGGCTTGCTGCCTCTTCCATATTCTTCCTGGTATATATTGGCTGTTTAGCAAATGTTCAAAACCTTACTCAACAGGCCAGACTGCTTCTAGGGAGGAGGAGGATCTGCTAAATACACTTGTCTGTCAGCTCCACTATATACCTATACTTTCTATCTCTGAATCCTTTTTAACTGTGTAATAAAAGCAAACAAGATATTTGACTTCTTTTCTAACAAAAAGAAGTTAGAAAGGGCCGGCTAAATAGCTCAGCAGATTAAAGCGCCTGTAAGCAGGTGCAGGGGCTGGGGGCTTGATCCCCGGGCCTGCTGTGCCGGCCCCACCCCTGGGGCACACTGAGATGGCAATTGTGGTGTGTGTCTGTAATCCCAGCTCTTGGGAGGCTGTAAACAGGCAGATTGCTACTAGTCCAATCTAGTAGTGAGACCCCAAACACCCTGTAGACCCTTCCCTAAAATACAAAACAAACAAACAAAAAAAGTTAGAATATAATTGACATGTTTAATATTCTTCCTACCAACATAGCAACTCTGTAGATCTTAATGTGTTCATAGATTTCTGCAGCCATCACCAAAACTGATTTTATTTTATTTAGAGTCACGGTCTTGCTATGTAGTTCAGGCCATCCTTGAACTTTCCATGTAGCCCATGATGACCTTGAACTTGCACCATCACACCCTGCTTATTTTAGAGTACTTCTATCACCCCAAAAGAAGCTGTATACCTCTAAGCGATCACTATCCCCTCACCTGTCTAGCTTCCTGAAACCACTTACCTTCCTGTGTGTGGCTTTGCTTACTCTAGACTTTATGTACAAATTATATGAGAGTAAATGGGCTGCTTTCACTGAGCATGTTTTCAAGATTCATCTGTGGTGTAGCCTGTATCACTACTGACATTTCTTTTTATTGCTAAACAATATCTCATCAGATACCTGACACTGGGTTTTATTTCTTCATTTCTCAGCTGCTGTAGGTTGAGTCACCAAGGCTTTATTGCATGCCTGTCACTGCCAGCATGGCAGGAGGTGCTGGAGTACAGAGATAATCAGGGCCTTGCCTTTGACAGGCAAGAGGCCAGGGCAGAGCCCCACAGCTGTGGCTCTGTAGCGTTAGAAGAATATTTCCTGTGCAAGTGGAACAGAATAGAAAGAACTACCGAGTGACAGGTAACTGAGTTGGCAGATCTGGATTAAGTAGACAGAAGAATTAAGCAAGTAAAAACAGGAATAAGTTTATGCCATTTTGTCTCTTAAGTATAAAGAATTTACCGATAACATGTTCATAAAGGCACAATCAAAAGGATCCCAGGGCCTGGGGATGTAGTTCCATGGTAGAGCACAGCTCTAGGTTTGATACCACACTGCCAAAAAAAAAAAAATCACAAAAGTAGTTACAAAATTTGGCCTATCTTAATATTCATCATGTGTGTAAATGAGTCATAAAGTGCCTGAACTATGTGGAAAGCTGTCCACAATTCTGATTATGGCTAAGTGGGTCCCAGTATTTAATTTTGAGCAACATGTACTAGGCAAAGATGAAAAAATAATCTTTTTTTAAAAGACTATTTTATTTTTGTTTATTTATTTATTAGATGCAGGAATCTAATAAATTCTGAGTCACTACATAGTTCAGACTCATAGTGATCCTCCTGTCTCAGCCTCCCCAGTACTGGAATTACCAGCATGCTCCACCATGCCTAGTTTCCAGTCCAGCATGGCATGTGGTACCATGAATCAAACTCGGGTCTTTGTACTTGCCAGGCAGGAGCTTAGACCACTGAGCTGTTTCCCAGCCCTAATCTTGCTTTCAAGCTCACAGACAAATAGGGGAAAGGAATAGGAATGAATAATGCACAGTATGAAAAGTGACAGTCTAGAGAAGCAAGAGATTGACTTGGGCAAGGAAATGGGTGCACTTTATTTGTTTTGAGGTCTGCTGATTTTGAACTCACTCTATAGCCCAGGCTGGCCTTGAATTTGTGGCAAAGGCAGCCCTCCCGTCTGCCTGCTAAGTGCTGGGATTACAGGCCTGCATCTGGCTGGGGACCGTGGTTTTAGAAAAGCTTCGTTGTGACTATTTCTGAGCTGAACTTTTTTTTTTTTTTTTTTTTTTTTTTTAATGTATTTAGTACAGGGTCTACAGGATCTCACTATATAGATCAGACTCATAGCGATCTATCCTGTTTTTGAGCCTCCCAAGTTCTGGGATTACAGGTGTGCCCCACCATGCCCAGTCTTATTCACTCTCAGCGTGCCCTGGGGATGGGGGCAGGGCCAGCACAGCAGGTGGCCCCTGTCCCCTGTGTGCCTAAGCAGGTGATTAGCTAGCTATCTGGCTGGCCCTTGAGCTGAACTTTGAAGGATCTTAAGTAAGAAGTCAAAAAATTACCCCAAGAGATAAAGTACAAGTTGAGAAGTATAAGACAGTGTTATGATCTGCAGACTCCAAGTAATATTGCTGGAGATCAGAATAAGGGTCTATCATAGATGAGGAAAGTGAGGGCCCAGTGGAGAAGGACCTGGTAAGCTGTGCTAGGAGTCTGAGCTTGATCCTATGGGTGATGGGTCAGATTTATGATTTAGGAGGGTTGTCCTGATTGCTTCAAAGCAGCTGCATTAAAAAGACAGACAAGAGCCAGAGGGACCCATTGTTGTAATGGCCAGGTTGGAGGTGATGGGGATTTCAACCATGATAGAAATTATTCTTAAGAGGTAAAGCGGGGGCTGGTGAGATGGTTCAGTGGTCTAAACACCTACTTTGAACAAGTTTAGCAAAGCACAGGGACCATGGTTCAATCCCCCAGCACCACATGCCAGCCAGCCCCGCCCCCTGGTGGGCTGAGCTGGCCACACACACACACAAATAAATAAATAAAATTAAAACCTTAAAAAAAAAATTGCAATTGTTTACTCACTTCATCCCCTCTTTCTCATACCACATGTTACAGTGTAGCCTTTTCTCCTGAAAGAATTTGGACTTGAGGAGGACCCAGTACTGTCTGTGCAGAATGTCTGGGTAAAAGGGAAATGCTTTAGTGGCATTTAGAAACTTGTTGCTAAAAATATTTAGGAATCCTTGGGGAACAGAAAGAATAGTAAGAAGTTAGTATCAAGTTCTAGGTTCATGTTAGTTGTGTTGTTTCTGTTGACCTGTTAGTATGAACACGAGAATTCCTTTCCTTTACCTGGAACTCTAGGAATGAGGAGTTAATGTGTGCAAATGTAGGAAAAATTGTTACAGAAGTAGTACTGCACTCAGAACATTCATAACTTGAGGAATGTTGGTTATCATTATTAGTTAGAAATTGTCAGTTTCACATCTTTTTTTTTTGTATTTTAGGCAGGGGTCTACAGGGTCTCACTACTAGATCAGACTCCTAATGATCTACCTGTTTACAGCCTCCCAAGAGCTGGGATTGCACGCACTTGCCGCCAAGCCCAGTCTCAATTTCCTTCTCAGTTTGCCCCGGGGGTGGGGCCAGCACGGGGATTGAACCCCTGGCCCCTGAGCCTGCTGGCCGGCACTTTAATCTGCTGAGCTATTTGGCTGGCCCTTCACACCTATTTTTTGAGACAGGGTCTTGCTGTGTAACCCAGGCAGGCCTTACCCTTGCAGCAGTTTTCCTGCCTCAGCCTCCTACATGCAGGGATTGCAGGTGTGTGTGCTATCACACCCAGCAAGTTACAATTTTTAGGTGCATAGAGTTTGAAACTTTTTGTAGTGTTTAGAAGATAACCACTCAGATGAATAAAATTCAGCTAATTTTATTAGTGTGCTGAAACTATGTTAAATTTACTGAGTGCCTGCTGTAGATGAAACATTGTGCTACTTTGCAAATATTTATGCAATCTTCACAGTGAATTTGTGGGGCAGGAAATTATCTGATATGTCAATTTTATTTTTTAATATTTAATTTTTTATTTCAAAAATTTTGTTATTATCATTTACACTCCAGGTGATCTAACCTGGATATTCTTCTGCTTACCTACATCCCTAGCTCCTTCTTTATTTTTATTTTTATTATGAGATGGAGTCTTACTAAGTTGCTCAGGCTAGGCTTGGATTTAAGATCTTCCTGTCTCAGCCTCCCAAGTTGCTGGTATTACAGGCCACTATGTCTGACTTTGTCTTTCGTTTTTAGAAGATAATACAATAACTTTAGAAACTTGCTGTGATTTCATAGCTGTTCAGCTGGAAGGTAGACCCTAAATCTTTTCTGTCTGCCTCCTCACCAGATGGGCAAGGCTTGACCTCAGTACTGCAGAATTCCCTTGAGGTCAAAAGGAATAAGAAAAATAGGATTTTGCTGTCCTGTTGTAGCTACAGAACCTTGGTTTCATTTTCTTTGCCTAGGGAAATCCAGGCAACATAACCCAGCAGGAGGAATGGCCACGTTTGGTTCCTGCTAGGACCATGTGCAGTGTAAGAGGACTATTGAACAAATGGTTACGGAGACAGGATGCTTAAAACAGCTTTAAGAATTAAAATGAAGGGTCTAGGGATGTAGCTCAGCGGCACAAGTGCCTGCATGGCAAGTGCAAGGTTCTGAGTTCTAGTCCCAGTACCAAATAAATAAAGTTGAAATAAAATCCACCATTTTAACTATTTTGTATGGGGTTTCTTTATGTGTGCATTTTTTTTTTTTTTTAAATAAGATCCCACAATGTAGTTCAGACTGGTCTTGAACTCATCTTATAGCCCAGGTGAAATACACAATTCAGTGGTTTGTATTGTTTATTTAGTGTCTTGTTGCCATCATGATTTTCTAATTTTAAAACATTTCATTGCCTCCAAAAGAAGTCCTCATTTTTCTGCTGTTACTCCCCATTTCCTGCCCTTTCCACCTCTTGCCTCAATCATGGGGCAAGCACTTATCTCCACTCTACGGATTCGCCTGTTCTGAATGTCTCCAATGAATGGGAGTGCAACTGTGTGACCTTTCATGGCTACATGTCTGGCTGCTTTTATTTAGCAGGTGTTTTTGTTTTTTTTTTTGTGGTACTGAGAATTGAACCTAGGGTTGATACATGCTAGGCATGTACTCTGTTTCCAGCCTTGTTTATTATTATTATTATTATTATTATTATTATTATTTTAATTTTTGAGACAGGGTCTCACTAAATTCTCCAAATTGGCCTCGAACTTGCAGTCCTCTTGCCTCAGGCTTTCCTGCGTAGCTGGGATTACAAATTTATTTTACTTATGCTACCAAGCTATCTCCCCATCCTGACCCTTTTATGCACTTGCCCGCTGTTTGCAAATCTTCTCTGAAGAAATGTCTGCCTCCCTTTGCCTCCTCTTATCTTCCATTCATCAGGCCCTAACTCCAAATCTTTTGCTGTTTCTGTGTTTTTATTGCTCTGCTAAAGTTTCTTGCTTGATCTGAACTGAATGCATTGTCCAGTAGATACATTCACCATTTGCTGATGCCCTGGTAGATTTATTTTTAATACTTTCAACCAACCTCACTAAGGTTAAATTCTCTCCCTCCTGAAATAGTGCTGTGAAAGATAAGGGCATCAGATGCAAGTTTCTACATCTTCCCTCTTTTTCATCCAACGTAAGCCCTATATTCTCTTTCTTCCTGGTGCTTTTAGAAGAATGGAGTCCTTGTTTCTTGGACAGACAAGAAACCCCCCACCTTTCCTGAAGCCTATTCCCTATCTTTTATCTAGACTCTTGCTTTCAAATTATCAGTTCTTCTTTCTGTAGCATTTTCAATCACTTTGGCTTTTTCTCCCCAGCTTTTAGAAATGCACAAATATAACTGTGGAAAAACTTCCAGTTGTTTCTTCCCTCTTGTCTGGGGACCCTTCTGTTTTTCTTAGCCCCTTTATGGTCACACATTTCAAAGAGAAATTATAATTAATCTCTTAGTGATACACGCACACCCCCCAAGTTGAACCCAGGTCCTCACACTGAGCTACCACCCCAGCCCCCCCTTTTTCCCAGCCCCTTTTTTATAATTTATTTTGAAACAGGGTCTCACTAACTTGCCTAGGCTGGGCTTACTTGGAATTCTGTTTCATCTTCCCAAAGAGCTGGGATTACAGGTGTGCACCACATACAAAGCGCTTTTTTTTTTTTTTTTAATGCCATGATTTACCCATTTGATGTTTTAAATTTTTATTTATTTATGTATTTTGAAAAAATTGTACCTTTCACTTATTTTGGAAAAGTGTGTGTGTGTGTGTGTGTGTGTGTGTACGATTCTGGATGATCCATCCTGGATGATTGGTTGTTGTTAAGGAACAAAAGGCCACACTGAGCTATTTCTCCAGCCATCTTTGTTTTATTCTTGAGGCAAGCTGCGGTCACTGTGTCGCTCAGGCTGGGCCTGAGCTTGCAGTCTTCCTGCATTAGCCTCCAAGTGCCGGGTACAGGCGTGAGCCACTATTCCTGGCGTACAGCACTGTACCTTTGGGTTTTCCTCTTCATGTTATACTTTTAGGAGGAATTTTAGTCACAAAATATTAAACAACTGCTTTGTCTTTAAAGCTGCCATGTTTTACTATTTCAGTGTATACCACTGAATTTAACCTTCTCTTCCTTTACCTTTTTATTTTACAGGGCTTACGGGAGCCAGCTCCTTTTTCTGATGAAATCGAGGTTGATTTTAGTAAACCTTATGTCAGGGTAACTCTGGAAGAAGCCAGCAGGGGAACTCCTTGTAAGTAAATATCTACTTCATTATTTTGTTGTTTTAGTATAGTTCGAGCATTCCATTGTATTTATCAAATACATGTCTTCTCTTTATCTACTTCTGTCGGCTTACTTGGAAAGGCAGGTAAAGGGTGGTCATTTTTGGCCAGATGCTTTGTTTGTTAGGAGAACTATCTATATTCTAGAAAGTTTTTCCTCTTCCTCATGCACATGTTCTCTGAGCTGTTATCACAGCTATGAGCTATAGTGAAGCAGGAATAGTAAGACATTAGTTGAGCTGGTTATGATCTAGCAGGTATTATTTGAGGTGGTTGGCACTGAATCCAGGGCCTCACCCCTATAGCTTTCTGAGCTACGCCATAGCCTCATGATCTTGTCTAATAATATAGCAATCTCTCACACTTTTTATAGCCACCTGAGTTCTCAGGTGTCAGTTTACTGTGATGCTAATTGACAGAGGAGAAGAATATCTTCAGATGGAAGACACTTATTACTTTTTTTTTTTCAGTACTGGGGATCAAACTCAGGACCTTGTGTTTGCCAGGCAGGTGTTTATGCCAGAGCTGCCTCCCTGTCACACTTACTGCTTTATTTTATCATTTTTTAATTTTTAATTTTTTAAAATTTTATCTTTACTGATTCTTTTTTTCTTTTTAAGACAGGGTCTCTCTGTGTAGTTCAGGCTGGCCTTGAATTCACTGTGTAGCCCACACTAGTCTCAAACTCACAGTGATCTTTCTGCCTCAGCCTCCGGAGTGCTGGGAATACAAGAGTGGGCCACCACACCTGCCTCCAGATTTATTTATTTATTTTTCAGATTTTTTTAATTTTTAATTTTTAAATTTTCTTTCTTTTCAGATTTTTTTTTAAAGATTTGGTTAGGGGGCCGAGGAGATGGCTCAGTGCAAGGGCCTAAGTTCAATCCCTGGTTCCACACACAAAAAAAGACTTGGTTTATGATTTTCAGTGCCCATACTCTTATTTGTATGTTTCCTGTATTTCCTTATTAATTCATAGTTTAGACCACATAAATTGTTAATGCATATTCTGGTTATATTCAGAGTATTTGGAGTAAGGAGTCATCAAAATAGAAACTCTTGTGAGCATTTTTTTTTTTAAAGGAATACAAAGTCCTTTAGGCAACTGTTCTTTCCTGTAAATTTTCTCTCTCTCTCTTCCTCCCTCCCTCTCTCTTCCTCCCCCTCCCTCTCCCTTCCTCCCCCTCCCTTCCTCCCTCCCTCCCTCCCTTTTTAGTCCTTGAATATGATGGTAAATACTCTCTACTCCACAAATGCAGAGCTGGACTTAAAATCTTGACAAATGCCAGGGAGTAAGAGGCTGTTATAGCCACAAATATATACATTTCCGATACATATACAATATATTTATGATTACTTTTGAATTATTTTTTAAGTATGTTATGGCTGTTGGGTAGTAAAATGTGAATAAAGATGATGCTGGGTGACATCAAGCCAGGGATCCCAACCCCTTTGCTTGTATGTTGGGATATGGATTATGGCTTATAGGTCTGTAGAAAAAAAGACTAGTTCCAGAGAATACTTTCCTTTTGCAAAAGTGTTTGGCAATAGCACGAGTTGATCATAGCCTTCTGACTCACAGTGTGACCTTTGAGTTCAGCTCCTTATTTGAGTAATAGGCTGGTGAATGGGGGCAGGGGAAAGTATAAACAAGAACAGAGGCTCTAGATAGGACGTGGTGGGATGGTCAGGTCAGATTTCAGGTTGCCAGCAGAGTGTAGGGTTCACGCTCAGCTGTGATCATGGAGCCTGCGGGAGGCCAGAACTTCCTACACACTAATGACACACGTCAGAATTCAGCTTCTCGCTCAGGTCCTATCACGATGGTCAGCTACCCACTCTGTTGCCAATTCACCCCCATACCATCTGTGTACCTATGCCAGAGGGAATTTTAACCCAGTAACTCCTGGGCGTGGGTGTGCTCCCTACCAGGCTGTCTCTAGGGAAGTTTGGGGTGCTAAGAAGGGGGATTTGTATCATCTAGGACAAAATTCTCTACTCAGGGGAAAAAAAAAATGACATGAAATCAATTTGGGGAATCTTTTGGAAGATTGGAAGAAAAAACAGTTTGACTCAAGAAAAGAGTCTGAAGGGTACTAGAAATCTGTTCAGGACAAATTGTATCTGTGATAGGTATCTGGGATATAGATCAAGAGAGACAATAAATTAAAGCCCAGGTTGAATGCCGAACGAAGTCATCTGGTTACTTAGCTAACGGTAGGGCAACCACCTAATTTAAATTTATAACCCCATCAGGACAGTTTTATGAGTGACAGAGACTGGTTCCTTTTTTTTTTTTTTTTCCCCCCCCAGAGGCTTGTTCTTAATAATATGCTGAGACAGTAGTTGCCCTTCAGAGGCCCTCAGCAGCCTCTGTTGAAAGAACTGGCAGCTCCTGCTTCCTCAGAGCAGTTCAACAGTGCCCCCTTCTGGCCACATGGAGAATATTCCGGCTGGGTTTACAAGAGACTTGGGGTTAAGTCCAAGGCAGCTGAGATGCCGGAGGCTGGGGAACCATGGAAGAGGGCAGGAGAGGCACGGGTCGGGTTGGTGATGCAAAGGGCTCAGCGATGCCCTGGATGCAGTGGGCAGAGGAGCTGCTGTGGTCTCGCCATATCCAGCAATGTGCTTCTGAGACAAACGTCCCCATCTTACTTTCCCTTCCTATACTCTGCCTAGTAGCAAGAAAGAAATTAACAAAATAGTCTTCATTTATACCCTATCCTTTATCTTTCAGGATCAAGTAAAGTGAGATCAGAGCTCCTTTGTACTTGCTTGGGAAAAAAGGGAGTATGTTAGTTTATTACTTCTAGGATTTAGAAAAGGGTTGTGTATTACTTAGATTTTGTTTTATTTTGCTCTGGCTTATGGTAAGAACACTGGGGCTTCCAGAGGTTAGGATCACAGGGCGAGGAAGCTGCTGGGGACGCTTGAGCTATAACCTTGCCTCTCAGTCAAAAGGCTGGGGTGTAGCTCAGTGGGAGGTTGTGGACAGAGCATGCTTGTGACTCTGCTTACAATCCACAGTGTGGAAAGAAAACATGAGTTCTCAGTTTTTCATTGTATTAATATATTTATTTCAAAAGCTGTATTCCTTATTATAAAGTTTGGACACCTCTAAGGCCTGACATTTGGAAGGTACAGCAAGGACACAGAGCAGATATTGCAGGTGACTCTGGGCCTGAAACAGTACAGTAGTAGCTGCTCTCCTTGGTGCTTGTTCTCTCTCTGCCTCCTGCCGACCACTCCTTATTCTCTGGGCAGTAGCAGATCTTTGCAAGCTTTAGTGATTAATAATCAAGGTAGCTTAGAAATGAAACTGCACAGCAGCCAGAGTAGTTTAATTGAAGGCTCATAAACAAAGGTGAAATGCTGGGATCAGTCTGATAGTCACTGAATAACTTCTTTTTCACTTCTAAAGTAACTAAGGAAAACCTAGCCTACTTTTTTTTTTTTTTTTTTTTTTTTGCCAGTTCAGCATCCCCTGAGGGTGGAGCTGGCATGGTATGTGGTGCCTGGGATCGAACCACTGTCCCCTGCACCTGCCTAAGCTTGCTTAAGGATGCTCTTTAGACCACTGAGCTATCTCACCAACCCCATTATTGCATGGCAGACATGATGTT